ACGCTCTCTTGATATAACTATACGATTAATAATAAACTAGAAATTATTTTGTTTCTAAATCCACGAAGAATTTGTCTTTTTTTTTGCAAATATCCAATTTAATTTTAATTTATTTTCTAATCAGAAACATAGATGTTATTTTCCTTCGTTTTCTTCTGTTCTCACAAATTTGAGGCTTTGTAGGTAAAATTCTATTTTAAATAAAACGAAGGGTTATAAAAATTGTGAGAATCGAACCTTTAGAGTCAGAATTGGCAATAATTGTACATGAAATAAAATTCGATGATTTTCAAAATTTTTGACAATGTTCTGTTCAGGGCTAGAGATAAGAATTGGGTTATTCGTTGTAGTCCAGTCAATGAATGCTCGAAAAGAGGGTGTAAAAGGAAATGGCGGCGAGACAATTTTTTATTTTGGGATATTGTTTGGACTAGAAAGGAGGTAAACATACTAAAAGCCCCCACTCCTAGGTGGTGAGCCAGAACTGGGAGGAGAGGCTCCTTGAAGGTCATTTTTTTGGGATTTGCACTTATATCAGGAAAACTATACATAGCATTGACAAAGACGTTTGATTCAAAATTAAGGCTCATAATATTTGCAATATGATTGGTCTTTTATACCTTTTTTCTCTATCTCTCTTAGCTTCCGAGATATCCGTCTTCTATCGCCAATGTGGAAAAAAAAAAAAATGTTCACCTCATGTTGTTTACTGTATTTAACTAACTAATTCTTGATTGGTAATTCTTCTTCAAGGATGTTTATCGTTTTACTAATTTATCTTAAACGGTTTGAAAGTTAAATCAATTATAACTTTATATGTCGATTCTGAGAATTTGGAGAAAAGAGTATTTTTTAAAATAAACGTTATTGTATTTATGTATATATAAATATATACATTGAGATTGAGATTGTATTGTACGTATTGTGAGTTACAGCAATATAATAATAACAAATATTATAAAAAATATTTTTATTCTTTTCAAATTCTCTGAATTGACATATAAAGTTATAATTTATGTAACTTTTGAACCGTTGGAGATGAACTGGTAAAATATTATATATTCTTGAAGGAAATTTAATTATTAAAAACTGGTTTTCTCACAACTTAATCGTAGAAAGAAGCGATGAAGATTTAGCTGAGGACGGATATCTAGGAAATAGCGAGATAGGAAAAAAAAGATATAATCTATCATATTGAAATATTGTATCAGCTTTAATTAGCCATAGTTGAGGATTCGCATCTCGGAAACTAAGCTAGATAGCGAAATAATTTTATCAGCTTTAATTTGGTATAGATCTTCTCTGTCGATGCGACAGTAGTGTTCCTGATATAAGCGAAAACACGAAAAAAGTTCTATGCTATCCACCTCACACATCTAGGAGTGGGGCCTTTTGAACGTTTATCTCCTTACTAGTCCAGTGTCCCAAAGTCAAAAATTGTTTCACCAACATTTACTTATTTAATCATTCATTGACTGGAATATTGGGACATCGCCATAAAAAAAAAACAGCAGTACCGGATCTGACGCTTGACCTGATGCTTATGGTTGTTAATAGGACCAAGTCCCTGTTAAACTTAATATGACGGCAGGATATTATTTTATTGAAAGACTTCAAAATTGTAGCAGTCAGAAAAAAAGTTACTGTCAGGACATGTATTCCATCCAAAGCGAAGAAATCAATATAGAAGAGAGTTGACAGGATAAAATTTTCTGTAATATTTTTCTGATTTTGAAGAATATATTTATATATTTATATGATGGTATTCCCTTTCGCTTGTTGAAAAATCTGTTTTATATTTTCAGGACGTAAATTTGACCAGAGTTCTAAAATAAAAATGACAGAGGGGAAGATGATACATGAATAATAAATCCTCCTGTTTCCAACAATTGTCACCTCTGACCCAAATAGACTTGATTTAGGACGTAAAACAGGTGTGACGATGCTTCCTCGGATTACTGAGTTACAATTGTCACAGGTTTATTGGACTGCACTATACGGTGGTTCACAAAAAAAATATAAAAAATCCAGGAATAACTAGTCACATGCATTATAGCTTAAATAATATAACCATAAGTTAAGTATTATGAATATTTTTTGTCAATATGTCATAATTAATAATATCCAACCCCCATTGACGATTCTAAATAAATATAAAAAATAGAAAAAAAAATCCATCAGGGAGTTCCATCCCTTTCCCAGGATTTTATACATAGGTGTAACGTTATCAGGAAATTATTGAAAGAAAAATGATAAACTATATTGTATCCCAACAAAGCATCCTTGAGCCGATATATAGGTTACATTGATATCTTGGAAGGATCAGTACAATGAAGAGAGGTCGGCAGTGAAAAACAAGATTGATTTAGCTCCTGTCAACAAGATGAACTTCCTCTTACTTGGATCAGATATTGTGATGTATCTATGTCACCTCCCGGCTTATGGCGATGCATTTCTATTCTGGACCAGATATATAGTATTTATGGTATAAAGTATTTAAATATTATATGGATGAAGACGTGCAGTCAAAAAAATTGTTTATTGAATTTGCCAACGTTTGGATCTAGGGTTTAAAAATGAAGAAATAAAAAAAAAATCAGAAAAATGATAAATATACAATTACTATGGGAGTACCCCGGTCCGAGTGACGGCAGACCAACCTCCATTTTACAAATTATAAAATTGTTTATTTAATCGTACTGCTAATTGCTCAAACCGTTTATTCTGTATTCCAGATTGTATAAAGTTTTATCATCATAAATAAACTGAAGGAAACCACAGTTCAGACAAATTTTTAAATCCTTAAAAAATCTATATTATACATCGTGCCTTATTGCCAATCTATGTTATTATATAATCATAATTATTCTTATTGCCTATTTGTAACTAATTATTGACATATGTAAAAATTTAAAAAGTTTTCTGAAATAGGTAGGAAAATCGTGTGTGTGGACACACCAGATTTATTTAATTTTAGCTCTGATGATGACCCACAAGTCTGGGTCGAATGATCAGAAAACTCAATAAACAAATGTTTAATTGAACATCTTGGCCCTTTTTTCATTGTTCTAATTTTCCACAGTCAATTATATACCCATCCATAATTTATATATTATATTATTGATGCTTTGTTTATTTTAAATATTGTATTTTATTGATTTTTGCTTTATATAGTCATTTTTTGGAAATTAACGGGTTAACAAATCCATTGATTGGGATAATTAACATTTAGTCATTATCGTGGACCTCTTTCATAATCTGCAGCAGAACCTATCCAATTGAGGCCACATTCCCTTCTCAGCTGTAGTGGAATATGTTCAACTAAATCATAGTAATAATTATTAAGAAATTCCTGAAATGTGCCCGCATTGAGTCGAGGCGGCAAGAAATGCGTTTGCGCATGTTTTCACTTTGAACAACATTTAATATCAATGTTAATGTTTAAATTTAATTAATTAAGTAGATAGAACAAATAAGTAGATTTTATTAATTTCATATAACGTAAATAATTCATAGCAACGAAAATATTTAGGTATGAAGATCCCCTAAACAAAGCGTTTGCGGACATACCGTCACAGGAAATGTTTTTCTTGTTTTGAGGTCCTCAATTCATATTTTCAGTTTGACCACTTAACTCTGAAACACCCGTTGGACCTAGCAAAGGCTGGGTGTGGAAAGGAGCGATCTGCAGAATATGGCGGAATTAATAATTTTGGACTCGTTAGGAATCCTACACCATCATATATCTTGATTCTGAGCAATTCGTTGTGAGCTCTACAGACAGCTTATAAGAAGGAAGAAAACTGAGTTTAGCAATAAGAAAATGAAGGATAACATTCGGTACTTTGAATGATAGTTCTGCATCCTTTGTCCTCTCTCATTAAACATTATCTATTGGGACTGATCAGTATCCTGGGTGTTGTAGCTTTGTTGTACTTTTCTCTTTTATACTTGTAGACTTCAAATTATTATAATAATTAAAAAAACATTCATATTAATCACTACAGTCCTACTTTATTTTATTTTTTATATCGACGTTTCAGCGCTTAGACCATTTTGAAGGGATGAAACTTTTAACAAATAAGAACAATTCACAGTCTAATTATACTTATAACCACCTACCTGTTTAAAAACTATTTAAAACAATTAGCCTTAATTTTCCTTGTCATAGAAACTTTATCAGTCAAATACTAAACCTTCCTTTGTAAGGTTATGTTTAGTCTTCTTCATACTTCTGAATAACATTCCTAACAATTAAAAATTCCATTAATATACCATCTTTCTGCATTATTAAACTAGTTCACAATATTATATTATAAATAAATACAATTTATTTACATCCCCATTATCCATTGTATATATTTTTTTAAAACAACTATAATTTCTATCTGTATAAACTACGGCTATAGTTTTCATTCACACAATATGTACATAAGAAAGGAAAATAAATAAAAATAACCAAGAAAAAAAAAGATAAAGTAATATTCTAGATAAGTAAAATAACAGATTAAAGAAGAATGATAATAAAATAAATTAAACACATTCACACCTATATACAGCGAAAAATCTGGCCAGTGCCAGTACTCCAATATCATTGTTTTTAATATTTTTTTAACAGGTAAGTGGTTATTAAAATAAAATGATAATAAATAATGGAAAAATATAATTAGGCTCTTATAATTTTTTATTTGTTAAAGGTTTCATCCCTTGAAAATGGCCTAAGGGCTGAAACATCGGTGAAAAAAATATAATAAACCAGGACTGTTGTGATCAATATGAGTGTTTTATTATTATTATAATTATTATATATATATATATATTGTAATATTTTTATTTTTACATTTATTTATTTTATTTATCTCTCTGTCTGTCTGTCTGTTATTGCCGAATTTTATCTTTTAAAATCTGAAATCTGTCCTTCTAACCTTTAATCTTTCTGTTAGTCAATTAACCTGGTATTCGTGTATCTATTTAAGTTTGTAAGAATGGGGTGTACCAGC